CCCTCCAAATTCCAAGAGGTAGTGGGTATTCTTTAGTCTCTCCTTTACCTTCTGCTTTCTGCAAAATGTCCTTGTGGTCCATAAATTCTGCGTTCCAGATGTCCAACCACACCAATCCATCTTCCTCTCCCAGGCTTTGTTCACTGGAGCACATCAGAGTTAGTTTATCAAAAGTTAAAATTTCAGTCATTCTCCCCTCCTGTGTTCCCACAAAAGTAGCTTATGACAACTTTGCTGAGAGTAATCTGAGCATAACACACAATTTATAATTTATCTGTATGTTGGTTATGATTAATTAAAGCAACAATTTTAAAAGGTAATTAAAACCATTACCTACAATTATTTAGAAGCTCCCTCGCTCCCAGCACACTCAGACCTCACTGGTTGTGTCAGCTCAGGGCTCCAGAGGTGGCCCAGGAGCTGTCAGCAGATCACACCCTGGGAAATTCATTCTGCTACTCAGAGATGGATCAAAGTCCAGAGGAAAATGGGGGGGCCTTTATTTACAGCTTGCTCCTGTTGATCATTGGAAGGCAAACTGTTCAGAGGTGACATTTGTCTCTGAAATCCACTGCCACACGCTGCAGCCATCAGTCACCAATCCCTTCTTGAAACCTGAATAAATGCAAGGCTCCTCCTGGCTCAGGACAATGCCACAGCCCTGGGGACAGCGAGGGAAGGGCTCAGACCCTGATGGGAGGCACAGGGAGTGTGGTGGGATGTGCCTGGAGCTGTGGGGTGTGGGATCAGCACTCAGCACCTCCCAACGGGACCAGGGCTCTGCTCCAGGTGATCAGGAGGGCTCTGCTCTGCTCCAGGTGATCAGGAGGGCTCTCTCCTCTGCTCCAGGTGATCAGGAGGGTTCTGCTCTGCTCCAGGTGATCAGGAGGGCTCTCTCCTCTGCTCCAGGTGATCAGGAGGGTTCTCTCCTCTGCTCCTGGTGGTCAGGAGGGCTCTCTCCTCTGCTCCCGTGCATGCACAGCTCACGGAGCCAGGGTGCCACCAGGAGCACCGAACTGGAACCGCCTCTGCCCGAGCAGACACGGAATTCCCCAGGGTGCAGAGCTGCTGGGTACATCCAGCCCCTTCAATAAGGAATTGCAGGACACAAACACAACCCTGGCCTCGCTGTGTCTGAGGGCACAAGGTGGGATGAGTGCACTGACCCAGCTGCTCTGTGTCTGCTGGCTTTGCTCTGCAGAAACGGGGAAGGGAACCGCAGGATTGGGATACACAAACTGCTAGCAGTGAAATTAGTAATTTCCCTGAGTGCTAAGCCAAACAAAATGCCCTGCCGTGCTGAAGAAAAGGTGCATTTGTTGGAATGTGTCTCATACAAGCTACATCTCTTTCTGTGCTTTGCCTTTGAGGGAAAATGAAGCTGTTTGTCTCTGCATTGAGGGGACCTGCACATCCCAGTCCCTGTCAAGGATGAGCCTTCTGCCTTTTGTGGTGTTCCCCACCCCTGTCTCGATGATCAGACAGCAGTTTTCACAGTAACTAACACAAAACCTCCTCATCCCCTTAAATCCATTGTGGCTCCTGGCAGGGTTCTGCTGGCACCAAAACCAGAGGCACCAGCAAAAATGGTTGTGGTGGGTTTTATCACCTGTGTCTGAGCACAGGGGTGTGTACCTGCACCTCTCAGCATTTCTGTGCTGTGCTAACAGTCCCTCCAGGCCCACATTCAGCTGAATTTCCTTCTATCAGCAAAGTGACAAAGTGACACTGTCCCTTTGCCTCCGTGGAAACGTGCACAATGTCCCAGGGGTGTTCAATCAATAACCTGCAGGCAAGGCTAGCTCTGGCTGCTTGGACAGTGATAGAGGAATCCTAGGAAGAAAATGCTCTGTCAAAACCTGACAGCACAGGTGAGGGATGCAGCCCTCAGCTCGGTGGAACTGTTGTTGTTACCTCTGAACATCCCCAGTTCCTTCTGAGACAGAGAGAAGCCCTTTCCCATGTTCCATGTAAAAGCAACATGATTAAATATGGGGACAGCCCTCCCTCATGTCTTTTTGATTTTCTTGCCTTCAGGACCAGAGAGCATAAATCCAAGAGAAAGCTTAATGTGCTTCCCCAAAAAGATCTGTCCCACACTCCAGGTGTAACTGCTGTTATTGGCAGGTTCAAGTCATCCAGCCTAAATATCTGAAATAAAACAGCCCTAACTCCCCCACAACTGAATAAAACTGTCCTGTGGTGCTTCCTTTTCATTCCTCTCTTCCCAACCCCATTTTCCCTCTGCCCCCTGTCCCAGCCCAATTCCAAGTCTCCACAAGGATGTTCCTGAGCTTCCCCTGCTCCTGCCCCAGCACACAGCAGCATCTTCCTGGGCCACCACCCCAGCAGTGATGCCAGTAATTATTATTTCCCTGCACTGCCTGGAAATCTGGTCCTGAGCTCCCTGGGGAAGCGCAGAGAGCTGAGCCCACAGCTCCACCTCGTCTGTACCACACTGGGGGGAATCTTCCCAGACTCAGCTACTGCTTTCAAAAGTTTTTATTACAGCTTTTATCCCCACACTCTCTGCTTTATTTTACCTTCAGCAACAGATCTTTCACTGCTTTTTCTACACGGGAGACAGGCAAAGAAGGGTCATTAAAAAACCTCTTCATTACCAGCTGCTCGTTTACTCCTGTCTCGTGAGGGTTAGAGGGGGCAGAGGATTGGACTTTCTTATCTTTTCAAGTAACTTCCTTTTAATCTCCTTTTCCTGGAGTATTCCAGTGTATAATTCAACTAATAGTCTGCTATTGCAGTGACCTCGAAGAAAGCTGATGCTCTCACTCTGGTTGAGTCTTTGAATTTCACCTTGGAGATCTGAAGGGCTTTTTCGGTGTTCTCCCGGCACGGGGACGGAGTAGATTCCCTTTAAGTGCACTTTTAATGCCTCCTCCAGCACTGAGATCACTCTGAAACAACCGCAGAGTTACTCGGCTCTCTGACAGCCCTTCGGGACTTAATTACAGGGGTTTAATCTCCGCTGAGATGAAGCCGAATCCGTCCCTGGGCATTCCTTTGCCTGCTGGAATGACGCACAAGCCCGGGATGGAGCGGAGGATGCTGCTGCCGACCGCCCGGGAGGGGTTCGCTGTCTCGGGCTGCCTCTGGCTTTTCCTGGGAGCGGAAAGGCCTCGCATTCCCGAGATTTGCGGGGAAAGGGGGACACCCGCCGGCCGCGGCTGGAACGGAGCGGGGGCAGCGGGATGAATCCCGGGGTTGCCGGGACACAGCATCGGCACCGGGCGGGAGCTGCCACCGCACCCCGGAGCTCGGAGCGAGCCAGCCCCGCAGGAATCACCGGGACACTTGGGAACGGAGCGGGAGGCACAGCCCGCGCTGCTGTGCTGCGGGTGTCAGCGAGAAAAAGCCTTCAGCACATCTTCGGGAGGCACACAGGGCTGCCCGAGCCTGATCCTTACACTAACCTTCATCTTACACCAACCCTCATCCCAACCCTCACCCCATCCCTCATCCCAACCCTCATCCCAACCCTTATCCCAACCTTCATCCCAACCCTCATCCCAACCTTCATCCCAACCCTCATCCCAATCCTCATCCCATCCCTCATCCCAACCCTCATCCCAACCTTTATCCCAACCCTCATCCCAACCCCAACCCCGTGCAGCCAAGGGAGCCTCCAGGAAACTTTAGGGAGCAACAATTCCTGCTGGACCAACCCAGAAGGCGACAGGTATTTTCTGCAGGAGCTGAAGGAAAAGCTGCTGGAACCACGGTTGGGCAATTTGGTTTAAAAGGCAGTGCCAGAGGCTCCTGTGGCACTGGGAATGCTGATCCAGAACAGCCTGTGTCCTTCTCTGGAGTTCCCTCCGCCTCCCCAGCACTGGCCACGGGAAAATGCTCTCTCCTGCCACACTTGGAGCCCCCAGGCGTTGGTTTAGAGCCTGCCCTCCATCCATGGACAGCCTAGAACATATTTAATATTCTATTCACACATCTCTGCAGCTTTATGGCTCAGTTTCTGCCTTTGATCTGCTTCCCGCAACATTAATTCATTCCAAGCCCTCTTTATCTTCCAACTCGCTATTTCTAACCGCTTCCTTGAGTTACCTGTTTTGTTTCAAGCAGTATTTTTTTCCCCAGAAGGGGATTGCTTGGCTGTTGGACCAAGGTGTGATTGCAGAGGGGTCACCAATGACCTGCACCCTGTGAGCTGGGGATCTGGCACAGGGGACACCAGAGTCCCTCCTGGCACAAAAACAAGGTCTTGGTGCTCACCTCTCTGAGCTGCACAGGGAATTGCAGGAGGAATTTTCCTTCTGTCATCCTCTGTTTCTGGCTGGTGGCAGCACAGAGCTTGAAAGCTAAAGCATTTCGGCTGTGGAGCTGCCATACGTGTCACTTGTCACCTCTCATGTGCTGCTTTCTTCTTGAGGCCCTCGCTCTGCTTTCTTTTCACTTCCACTCTTCATTTCCCTGATTCCTGAGGAGCTTGGATTAGCCTGGTAGCCTTACAAGCTGAAAATAATCCTGCCTGAAGCAGCAAACACGGCATTGCTGCAAGGGATGCTGTAGGAAGTGCAGCACACACCCCACCCCATCCCTCAGTGCCGTTCCCCTCCTGTGTCACTTCTGTCACCCCTCAGCCAGCGCCAGCCCCAGCTGTGGGGTGCCTGTGCCAGCTCTCCCTGCAGCTCTGGCCATAGAGACACTGGGGAGCTTTTCCAGTGCAACTGGAATTCTTCTGGAATTTGCTGCATTTTATCTCGTTTTTTAAAACACTTACTTGAAGGTTCCTTGTGAGCAGCCTGGAATGGCTGATTACAGCTGCCATAAGGGAAATGGGAGTTTCCCCTCACCAAAACACAAGCAGAGCCTTACCTGAGGGCTCCTTCCCGAGCTAGAGCAGCTGGGAATGCAGGACCTCCTCCCTGGTACCCCCCTTCCACCTCCCAGCCCTCCTGTGAGACAGGCTCCACATGACCTGTGGCCTCCACACACCACTCTTCGCAGTTTTTGGTTTGTTGTTTTTTTTCCCAGTATTTTATTTCTGACAGGCATTTACAACGTTCCATTCATAGAACTAAAAACATAAAAATAGACCTTCTTTCAGCTTATAAAAGAAATATATAAGAACCTTTGACATAGACATGTCATGACATTATGTACAAGAGCCACGGTACCTTCCCAGTACCAGCCTTCCAGTATCCGAGTGCCGACTGCGACCCTGGGAGCAGCCCAGGACAGCCAAACCCTCCAGCACGTGGGACACGACCGACAGGTGATGATACAAAAAACAACCATGTGATCATACAAAGGGGGTAGAAACTCCTCTAAAGCTCTTATGAAAAGAAACCAGGAGATAGCAAAAAGTTAACTAGAGAAAGCTTTTGTAAGTCAAGTATAGTGCACCAGAAACCAGGGAAGGGAGGGGGTGAGGGGAGGATGCCAGCTGGGACACACAGACAGTGATGGATGTTTCAGGGGGGAGTGGGGATAATTTTTGTTATGTCTTAAAATATAGTCAGAGTGGATTTTATAAAATATAATCCTAAGGCTATTATAAAATTTCAGGTTCTCAAAGTACCTAGTGATGTGTCAAACATCAATAGATACCAACAAAACAGAACAAAATTTCATATAATCTTCCTTTTTTTTTTTTTATTCCTATAGGTGAGACTGCAATGGGGAAAGCTATAGAAAACCTAATAAAAAAAAAAAAGTGCTATTTTGTGTTTTGTATTTGGAACTCTACTTAAAAACCACGAGATTTTAGTCATGTTTTACCCTGTTTTAGATGTTTAAATAAAAGATTTAAAATGTTAAAGAAGTTTTACTTGTGTAGAACTTTTTTCATCCTCTATTGCAGTGGAAAAGCTTTTATAAAGGAATTAAAATACACTAGTTTCACCCACGGTAGGAGAGTGGGTGAGGTCAGTTTTTTGGCCATGAATTCCCTGTTCCCTAAGCCCAAACTCTGCCAGAGAGAGAGGAGCAAAGGGATCTGTGTTTCCAGCAAGGGCACAGCACGGATCCCTTTGCTCCACTGCAATTCAACCATGTCATTTTATTTATTATTCTTTTTATTAGCTAACTAAACTCCAGTCTCAAACATATACAATAAACCTTTTCCTGAAGAAAGTTATACCTAAATAAGAGTTTCCAGTTCATATTTTAATATAAAACCACCATTCCTAACCCTCTGCAAAAAGCTAGCCTCGTATCCAAGACGTGGAGCTACCCTAAATCTCTTACCTCTTTGTGCCCCTGCATCTCAGGTAAAATACAAAAAAATATTTCTTCAAGTGTTAAATTTGGATCTCTTTTAAGAGAGTTTGGCATCTTTACAAGAGTATGTAAAACTAGAGCTTCCGACATCGACGTTAAATTAGACCAGCCACAGACCAAGAGGACTGAACACAACATAAATCCCAAACCTTTCCTCACACGTTCCTAAAGTACATGAATATTCTCTTACATTTAGAGGGGGGAAAGGGGGTCAGAATACTGCGACTGTACAGGTTAAAAAGGCAGTTTCCTCGCCAAGGAGATGAGCCTACGGCCGACGGCTTTCACGGCCACCGGCCCCTCTGTCCTCGCGCTCCTGCCGGAGCCCCTTCGCTGCACAGAGGTTACGACATCCAGAGTCATTTGTTTTCCAGTGATTCCGTTACTCCATTTCAGCCCCTGATTGTTTCAGAATAAATAAAATAGTGTGAAAGCCCTTGGTTAACGTAAGACAGGACCTCGAGCTCGTTTCGTTCCTGGTTTTGGAGCGTTTGTCAGTCGCCTGAAGCGTGGCCGCACGGCTTCGGACCGCTTGAGCTGCCGCAATGGTGTGTGCAAGTGTGCAATCCGCGGGGTCCCCGGGAGGGACGGCGGGGGCCGGGGACACCTGCGGGGGCCGGGGACACCTGCGGGGGCCGGGGACACCTGCGGGGGCCGGGGACACCTGCGGGGGCCGGGGACACCTGCGGGGGCCGGGGACACCTGCGGGGGCCGGGGACACCTGCGGGGGCCGGGGACACCTGCGGGGGCCGGGGACACCTGCGGGGGCCGGGGACACCTGCGGGGGCCGGGGACACCTGCGGGGGCCGGCTCAGAGCTCGGTGTTGAGCTTCCTGCCGGGCACAAAGTCCTCCCGCCGTACCCAGATGACCTCCTCGCCGTGGCCCTCGGCGGCGCCGTTGACGCCGGGCAGGGTCGCCTGCTTCCTCAGCTGGGCCATCCTGGCGGCGTGCGCGTCCCCGGGCGGGCAGGGCCGCTGCTCGGGCCGCCGGCCGCCCGCCAGGGACGTGGCCTGCAGCCGCTCCCGCAGCTCCCGCTGCGCGCCGCGCGCCGCCTCGCAGAAGTCGTCGTCGTCGCTCAGGATGTCGGTCTCCTTGATGTCCTCCTGCTCCTCGTACTGCGCCACGTCGAACTGCTCCTCAACCCAGCGGTCAGTGTCCCCTCCCTGCGCGGGCTGCGCGGGCTCTTTCTCGGGGCTGCTGCTGTGGACGGCCTCCGAGTCAATGGTAAACCTGTTTCGGGCCAGCCGCCGCCTCCTCCTCCCCAGAGACTTGCTCGGGGCTGACACTGCACACACAAAGATAAAACCCCACAGGTGTTTTACACACGGCACGACTCTGGGCCAAAGCTAAGTGCTGTCGGGGCCCGCGTCCGGCACGGGCAGGCCCAGCGCGGCCCGGTCACCCCCGGCAGCTCCTCGGCACGAGGCGCCCGCACGGGCAATTTCTGCTGCTCAGATCCACCGTGTGACAGAGAACAGCCCTCAACTGCTGCTGCTCCTGAGTCCTGGCCAGCACCAGCGGCCTCAGCTCAGCTTCTCGCTCGCAGCCCCCGCAAAATCCAACAGCTTCACACCTCGGAGAGGGAAATGTGTCCGGCCTCAGAGCAGCGCTACAGCTTTCCCAGTGGCTACAGCAGCACCGAGGATGCTACGTCAAAGACAGGGAATCACGTTCCCTGTTCAGGCTCTGCTACTCCCTTCCTCTCTTCCCTCCCTGCTGGGCGAGGAAAAAACAAATCCCCCAACCCAGGAGAGTTAGCAGAAGCTCCTTCCTCAGCATCTACTCAGCAACTGGCCCAATTAGCAAATTCCCATCTTGTGTGTCAGAACATCTTCCCAAACAGGGGCAAATCCTGCAGCTGGCGGCTCTGCAGGCACTGCGGTGCTTCAGGGGCACACACAGAGCTCTGAGGTTGGAGTTTGCTGCCCTGCACTGACAAATTTATCCAGCTCTGCCTTAGGGTTGAGGTCATTTTAGTGTCCCTGAGCCTCAAGGTGCATTAAGTACAACAGCTCAGCAATTGCAAATTTTATCTGTAGGGGGAGGCCTGGACTGCAAGGTGGGATTTCAATCCCTGCAGAATTTTCATGGCACACTGAAAGAGGAGGTCTGGCATCTCCAGCAGCCAGGGCCAGCTGGAGCCAGGGCTCACCCCGACTGAGAAGCTGGGCTCAGCTGCTGTTGGTCTGGCCTGCCCTGGTCAGGAGCAGAAAGGAGCAGAAAGCCTGGCTGTCTACAGTGCTGGATCTAATGAGCAGAACAAGAAATAAATGACAGACCAGAACAAAACACGCAGCGGTGCCGTGTACTTTGCAGTTGGAAGCAAATGTTTCTTCCCTCCAGCATCTAGAGTTCTGAAAATGAAAACCTGCTTTTCCCTGGGATTTTTTCACTGCTTTTGCCTGAAGTCAACTGAAAAGGAAAATCCATGGTTTAGGGGTTTAGGACAGGCCATTACAAAAATCAGAGTACCAAGTGCACCTCCAAATGTGGGAAGGAGGAGCACGTGTCCTCTGGCAATTGAGCTGAAAAAGCTCAGGTGGTGGACACCCACAGCTGCCCCTTCAAACCAAGCTCAGGGGAGCTGTTTTCCTTGTGCATTTTAGTTCAAAAGTGCTCAAGTTACCTCAAAATTCTATACATGCTTTTAAGAACCACACAGCTTCTGCTCTGTTCAGCTGACCCCCAGTTCAGATTAAAGTGCACAGCCCATCGGTACTGCCAGGAATCCCATTTCCCTTCCATGCCAGAAGCACTGCTCTGAAACTGAGCCTCGAGTGCAAAGCAAGGTAAATAGAGGCAATTTAAGGCTCTCAAGGAAGTGAAGCATGGAAAAACCTGCAGATTTTACACATGTACAGGAGAGAATGCTAATCCTAATATACAAGTGACAGACACCACCACGTGTCCTACAATGGTGCTGGGGTTACTGGGATCTTGAAAGTCTGTAGCCCTACAGTACCTGCCCTGTTCATGGCTGGCCTTGCACCTTTTAGAGCACACAATCTTTTTCCACCAAAAGGAACGTATTGCTGGGATGAGGGCAAACTTTCGGTTTTAAGGAGCTGTCTTCTGTGTTTGTCCCGCAGGATGGAGTGCACTGCCTTCAGAAAGTCCTTCCTGTGTTCTGGAGAGCTGAAAAAGAGGTGGGAACACAAAACACAGAGTTACCCCTTGGGAACTGCTAAAAGTTGGCTGTAAATGAGGTAAATCATGGCCAGTTCTGTGATTTAAGACAGTACAAATTGACTGGCAGGCGCTTCCCCTGAGAAGACTCCACTGAACTCAGTATTTTCAAAGCAAAGCTAAATCCATGGTCACTGCAGTGGGCATCCAAGGAAACCAATACCCAGGTCATTAATAAAACATTCAGCCTTTCAGCCCTCTCGAGGTTTCCTTTCCCTGCAGTGCCACCCACACGTGGCTGTGTCTGACACACATCCAGTGACCTGTGGTGCTCAATCTGTCTCTGCAAGCACACCCCACAGCTCCTGCAACTTTTCCTAGAAGTAGGAACTGCCTTGGCATCAGCTCTGTTGGATCCTGATGAACTTATGTTCCAAGTTCTTACTTGAACTGAAAAACATGCCAGGGCAACCACCACCACAACAACGGATGTTTATTGAAGGGAAGGCAGTGTCCCAAGTGCAGAGGCTGGGACCTGGTGCCATCAAAGGAACCACCTGAACACACCACCTGCCACGAAGACCCACTGGAAAATTGCAATAAGGCTTTTCCTACAAAGATGCAAATCAAGTTATATGCCTTTATTTTCAGAGACTGTACAAAATTCTACCTTCCAGAAGCAAGGTTTTAACACCCTCTCCCCACTCTCCCTCACTGGCTGGTCCCAGATTGCCTCCCAGGAAAGACAAGCAGGGATGCAGAGATGCAGATGCCACAGAAAACAGGGAAACCCACTTACCTACAGCAGAGGTGAAATGTCCTTTCTGGCCTGCCCTCAGACTCAGATTTGACGTGGACAATCTCACACACAGAATTGGTCTCTGCATCTAAAGGGGAAACCAAGCAGAACTTCATGTCTACCTTCAAGCTGAACTCCAAAGCATTTACTGCATGATCAGGGAAGGTCCCCAGGCCACACATTCGAAGCCTGGCAGACTCCAGCTGTGGGAACATTACCTGCACTGGCCAGGGCCCGCACCTGCAGCGCTTCCAAAGGGATCATGTGGCGAAACCGGAACGGATCCCAGTCTTCGTAGATTGAGGCTCTGTGTGATCCTCCCTGGAAGAATTTCAGACACTCAGGAAACAACACCCTGGGGCAGGCAGACAGTCCTGTGCTCTGTGCTGAGGGCTCCCTGCTGCAATCCTGGTTTTCCCATCCCAACACCTCCCCAGGGGGCCTCTCTCTGGAGACCTTGCTGGTATCTGGATTAAAGCAGCCCTAAGGCCCATCAGCTCTTAGCAATGCCCTCCAAAGCCACCCAGCCCAGGCCTGGATGCACACACACTTGGGAACATGTCAGAGTTCTGCTTCTCACCCTGAAGTCACCCTGTGCCTGCTGCCTTTTCCCATGCAGGCACCTCAAAGCCCTCTCTGGTTTATGCCATGGGCAGGGGATTGCTTGTTTCCCTGTATCACTACAGACTGTGCCTGCTGTAGCACTGCCAAGCTCAGCTTTAACTTGGAATCCCAAACTCCAGCGGGATCCCTGAGCCGCTCCTGAGGGGGCTGAGAGCAGCCAGCATTTGCTTGGTGGCACACGACAGCCAGGGCACTGTGTGAGGTGACAGACAATAATCAGCTCTCAGACACTCACACACACTGACCAAAGAACCTAAGCCAAGAGACACACTGGCAGTACATCTTCGTCCAGGACAACCCACCCACAGCAGGGAATGCATGTGGTAAGCATGGCAAAAAAGGATAAAGGAATGCTTGCTGTGCCCACACAGCTCCTCAGACACCAGGGACCACATGTGCCAGAGCACATTCCAGCTCCATGGCTTTGTGGAAATCAAAACTCCATCTCAGCCCCAGAAGTGCCCACCCAGACAGTCCCTGCACACTTACGAGTTTCTTCTTCTGTTTGGAACCATCCTTGTACACAAGGACCACGGCAGTTTTGAACACTGGAGGAGAAAGTTAGAGACAAAAGCTATGGAGTCACAGAATCTCAGAATCTCAGGACAGCTGGGGTTGGAAGGGACCTCTGGAGCTCACCCAGTCCAACCCTCCCCAGCCAAGGCAGGGTCACCTGGAGCAGGTGACACAGGAATTTGGGATTTTGGGATGTCCCCAGAGAGGGAGACTCCAGGCCCTCCCTGGGCAGCTGTCCCAGGGCTCTGCCCCTCCATGGCCAGAAGTTCTTCCTCAGGCTGAGGTGGAACTTGTTGTGTTTCAGTTCACAGCCACTGCTCCTCATCCTGTCACTGGCACCACTGAGCAGAGTCTGGCACCATCCTCTGAGAGCCCTGGGGGTGTTGGTGTGCACTGAGGGGATGTTGGTGTGCACTGAGGGGATGTTGGTGTGCACTGAGGGGATGTTGGTGTGCACTGAGGGGATGTTGGTGTGCACTGAGGGGATGTTGGTGTGCACTGAGGGGATGTTGGTGTGCACTGAGGGGATGTTGGTGTGCACTGAGGGGATGTTGGTGTGCACTGAGGGGATGTTGGTGTGCACTGAGGGGATGTTGGTGTGCACTGAGGGGATGTTGGTGTGCACTGAGGGGATGTTGGTGTGCACTGAGGGGATGTTGGTGTGCACTGAGGGGATGTTGGTGTGCACTGAGGGGATGTTGGTGTGCACTGAGGGGATGTTGGTGTGCACTGAGGGGATGTTGGTGTGCACTGAGGGGATGTTGGTGTGCACTGAGGGGATGTTGGTGTGCACTGAGGGGATGTTGGTGTGCACTGAGGGGATGTTGGTGTGCACTGAGGGGATGTTGGTGTGCACTGAGGGGGTGTTGGTGTGCACTGAGGGGGTGTTGGTGTGCACTGAGGGGGTGTTGGTGTGCACTGAGGGGGTGTTGGCGTGGACTGAGGGGATGGTGGTGTGCACTGAGGGGATGTTGGTGTGCACTGAGGGGATGTTGGTGTGCACTGAGGGGATGTTGGTGTGCACTG